GGATTTGGTGACAGAAAGCCAGTGTGGTGTGGCCATTAGAGTGTTGGACTAAGGTTTGGAAGTCCAGGGTTCAAATCCCCACTTTGCCATGAAGTTCACTAAATGACCTTTGGCCAGTCACTGCCTCTCAATCTGGCCTACCTCACAGGGTTGTTGTAAGGATAAAATGGGGAAGAGGAGAACTATGTACTGCCACCTTGAGCTCCTTGGAGGATAGGGGGGATATAAATCATATCCCTCCTCCTCCTCCGCCTAAGGCTGCTGCTGTACTGAGTTGGGTCTTATACCTTTGTGCCCCTAGGAAAGGATGTTGCCACTGCAGTTGTTCCCTGAGATGCTCCCATTTTCTGCTTTTGTCAGTGGAGACATTCTAGGAACTGGGGCCCTGTTCTGCTGCTTCCCCAGACAGATGAAACCATAGACTGCTTACACATTTCCACTCTTACGATCTAATGAGCAGAAACTGCCAAAGCTGTTTAACTGAGCCCTTAAATCCTTCCCCTCCCACACCTTGCAGGTAGACAAAAACTGAAGGTCTTAACTGGTTTCTAAAGACACAACTTTTCATCCGATTGTTTGCTCAGATCACTCCCCCCATGTTGTACCACAAGCCCCTGCGTGAAACTGGAGAGTACCATATGGGAGAAGACATTAAAATCTGCCAGTTGGAATTAAGGCTCTGCTTTCACTTTTCTAAGAACTTGGTTTGGTTTCTGCAGCTGGGTTTTCAGAGTTTCATTTGCAGTTGATATGACAGTTAAAACAGTTTATAAAAATGCAGCGAAAGAAAGAGCAGAGAGTGAGGGGAGAACTTGTCTCCCCACTTTAAATATATTGCCAGTGGACATTTTATGCCATGCTGTTTTGAGTGCTGCGTAGATCATATCCACAAGGCTGAGGATAGGTTCCCTTTTCTATTGGCCTTTGAACAAGGCCTCATCCAGACAGGTGATTTGCATGCTTTTGGTCTGATGCTATTATGTTTTTCTAGAGTTTGGAGTGTCCCAAGCATAGAAAGGAAGGGCCCAGTTCGATGTAGATGATGAGTGTGTATGTGTCTCCATGTACTGGTTTTACATTTAGAGCTGCTGCATGATTAATTAGGTCATCACGTGTTCCTACATGGTTCAGATGCTGCTGCCTTATGAAAATCTACATATTGTGGGAAATAGTTTACCCATGGGACTTCTGGGAGAGACGAATGGTGATTCGGTTGTCTCTCTGTTAGCTGCAGTAGACAGAAGATAATTACATGGTGATTGATAATAGTCAGACACATAGTCTGGCTATTAAACCACTCTGGAGATGAGGGGTTAGTGTCTTGGACAGGAGTTAGGACAAAATGGCAAGCTGAGTAGTAGTAGTAGTGGTTGTGGTTGTGGTTGTTAATACCACACACATCTGGCTGGATTGCCCCAGCCACTCTGGGCGACTTCCAACACATAAAAACGTAATAAAACTATCAAGTATTAAAAACTTCCTGATGGAGTAATGCCATCATGCCCAAACGTCACATAATCCCATTACAGGCTCTCTCTTTAAAACATCCTTGGGACAAAGAAACTGTAATAAGAGACACCCACCTACTGAGGAAAATCTACAATTTGAAAATCTGTGAGTACTACCTTCTGTTGTTGAGAAAATAGAAAGGAATCAAATTGTTAATGTGTCTAAAGCAAAGTGGAAGGCTTGATTTATGGTGGATAAGGAAGATTTAAAGGAACAATAGGAATTATTTACTCTTCTCTACTTCCAGTTGGTGAAATTGAAAGTTAGGCGGCCATCATTAGCCGTGAAAAAGGAATCTGTTTGTTTTGAGATAATGCATCTGCAGCTGTGATTTTAAGGGGAAAACATTAAAGTGGATTGAGTGGCTAATAGAACATTAAAAAGCATCCTGTATGACAAAGGTACTTTTGGATCAACCAGTGACCATTGGTATTGTTAAACAGTTGATGGCTGAACAATTAAAAATGATCAGATCAATGTTTGATCAAGGTGAAGAAAATGAACCAGAGGAATATGAAGTAGAAAATGGAAATGGGGAATACTGTACCTCAGCACCGCCTCCCCCTGCATATCCAAAAGGAATTCACCAACATCACAAAGATAAAACTCTGCCACACCAAATTCAGGTACCTGGGGGTACAAATAACCAGAAACCTCAACAAACAAAATCTCCACAATTACAAGATCCTGTGGTGACAAATCAACAAAAACTTGGGGAAATGAAACAATACCAACTTCACTCTTAGAAAAAAATAGCCATGATCAAAATGATCTCCCTCCCAAAATTAACCTACTTAATCCAAACCCTCCCAATCTGGGTTCCCCCAACCCAACTCTGGAAGTGCAGAAGAAACTACACTAGTTTATTTTCTCACACAAAAAGCCAAGAATAAACCCCAAATACCTTCCCTCCTCAGAAGGAGGATGGGGAATCCCCAGCATATTACATTGCCAACCAAGTATGCCACATAATCCAATATATTCTAGAAGACGAGACGAAACAAAACAATGGGTCGACTTGGAGAGTGACATCATCAAAAACACCCCCACAATAGCATACCCATTTCTCCAAAACAAACTAAAGAAAACCCAAAAAACATTAAACAGGTTCACACAGCAAACTCTCCCCAGCCCCACTAACCCCCCCTGGCTCATCACCCGCTATTCCAACACACAGCACAAAACCTCCAGATAAAAACCTGGCAAACCAAAGGCCTACACTGTCTAAAAGACTTCTACAAAAACAACAAACCCATACCAACACAAGAAATACAAGACAAAGTAGGGGACACCCAAATACCCTGGCTAACACACCACCAGCTACACGCCTTCTTAAACAATCCAGCAGTAAAAGCAGCAGCCACTAGGCCCTTGACCACCTTCAAAAACCTCCTGACAGCAGAGGGACACTGCAAAGGAATGGCGTCTACAACATCCAAAATACTGCTCCAAAATCCCTCAAACCTCCTTGACACAATCAAAGAACAATGGGAGCATGACATAGGCTATGAAATCAACCCCACCCAATGAACTGGAATGTGGTCTAAACCTCCCTTTAAATCCATCTCAGCCAAAAGAAGGGAACTCTGAAACTCACCTACAGATGGTACCTAACACCACAGAAACTGGCGCTAATATGCCCACCAAATGGTTGAAGAGGCTGCACCTCCACCGGCCCATATCTCCACATGTGGTGGGAATGCCCCCAAATCTAACCCTTCTAGGCATCAGACCTACAAGAGATATGCAAAATAAGTAAACAGAATTCACCCCAGAACTGGCCCTACTGAACATTTTCCAAGATCATAATGACCACTCACATTATACAGAGCTTATAACCCACCTACTCTCAGCAGCCTGAAGCCTCAGTAGCCGGACACTGGAGAGTCCTGTCTCGAGTAAACATGGACCACTGGTACCAAATGGGAAACAACCTTACTAGAAAAGCTAACCAACAGACTGAAACTGACACGGGGACAAATAGAAGAGGACTCTTTCACCCCAGTATGGCTTCCCTTTATCTCATACACAGCCCAACAAGACGATGACAAGAATCCACCAAAAGCATACAAATCAATTTCGCTAATTTGACCCAACAAACCCTCCCCCCCCCACTTCACAAATGCGAACAAACCTCAACAAACCATCCACACCATGGACTCCCCCAATCCCTCTCATCACTGATGCTATGATGATATGATGGTTATGATGCTCCCTCTGGAAGAAGATTGTGGGGGAAATAAAATGGAAGATCCTAGAGGAGGAGATTGGGATACTATCCTAGACATTACAGGAAATGGAATACAGCAGGAGATGGAACTGAATATACAGAACTGGACATGAACTAGTGAATATATAATGGGGGTAGACAAATACTGGCCCACTGTGTGATCACAGAGGAGAGACTTTAAAATAGACATGGACAAAAGAATGTAGTATTACTTAATATGAAGTAATGGTGCTAGGAATTAATGGAGGTAAAGTTAAAAGAAAAAATAGGGTTAAAATTTTACTTAATATGAAGTAATGGTGGTAGGAATTAATGGAGGTAAAGTTAAAAGAAAAAATATGGTTAAAATTTATAAATAGGAAACCTATCTTGGACTTTTTATAGGAAAAATAAATCAATCTTTCTGAGAATCCTTAGCCTAAAAGATGGACCAAAGGTTTTTAAGTAATCAGTTTTATTTTTTTAATAACCGGCAGATGGAAAATCAGAAGTTCTTCTTTTGTGTCTTTCTTCCCTCTTCTTTAAAATTTTATTCTTCTTTCTCTCTCCTTTTCTTTATTTTTATTCTCCTTTCCTTCCTTTCTTCTCTTTATACTTATTTGATTTGTATCTTCTGTAGTAATTTTACTGTATTATGGGAAAATCTTAATAAAATACCTTAAACAGGAAAAAAGGAAATGGTTTATCCATTTGTCTGTTTGTTCTCTATGCATTCAGACACCTCTTGAGAGATCATTGCTAGACTTGGCATGAGAGTTCCAGAGGTTGGGGTTGGGACACTGGGTACCAAGATGGCAGACAGAAATGTCATTTTGGAATGACTTCACCCATTTGGGGGATATAAGTTCATCTGTCTCCCACAATATCATGCCAAACTCAGCATAAAGGTTCCTGATGTGAGGGCAGTGAGTTTTATTGTTATTTGGATAGTGTACCATTTTGATTAAGATGGCAGACTAACACATGACTTTACCTGAATTTTGGCGTGACTCATAAATTACACAATCCATTTAAAAATCACAATATATTTTGGGTTTCTAAAAATTCCCAGGTAGTTCCAGAAGTTACCCACCAGTATATTAATAAAGTATGTTCACAAGAAAACTTTTAAAGCTACACTGAACTCAGGTTGCAGCACCAACGTTGCTCTAGTAAAATCAGTTATTTGTGTCATGTTGGTTCCCACTGGTTCTTGGGGCCAACTAAGCAATGGATGTAACTTAGAACTGCACTCACTTGTGTGTCTTCTTTCTCGTTACAGGTCAAGTGAAAACGAGCTGCGAATAGAGGACATAGCTCAGACAGTCTGCACTGAAGGTAGGTCTTCCCTGGATGTTTCTGGTCTGGCAATCTAAAGCTGGTCAGAAAATGGTGCTGGGAATGGGGTGTGCAACTCCATAGGATAAAAGGTAAAGGTAAAAAGTAAAGGACCTCTGGACGGTTAAGTCCAGTCAAAGGTGACTATGGGGTGCGGCGCTCATCTCGCTTCAGGCCGAGGGAGCTGGCGTTTGTTGACAGGCAACTTTTCAGGTCATGTGGCCAGTATGACTAAACTGCTTCTGGTGCAACGGGACACTGTGATAGAAACCAGAGTGCACAGAAACGCTATTTACCTTCCTGCTGCAGCTGTATCTCTTTATCTACTTCGCCTGGTGTGCTTTCGAACTGCTAGGTTGGCAGGAGCTGGGACAGAGCAACAGGAGCTCACCCCGTCATGCGGATTCAAACTGCTGATCAGCAAGCCCAAGAGGCTCAGTGGTTTAGACCACAGGATATATAAAATTGCCTTGTACTGAGTCACACTACTGGTTCATCTAACCCAGTGCTGTCTACTCTGATTGGAAGCAGGTCCTTTCCCTTTCTTCTATCTAATATTTTTTTAACTAGAGATGCCAGACCTGGGATCTTCTGCAGTGAAGGCATGTGTTCTTACTCTGAGCCAAGGCCTCTGCCCATAAGAGAAGGAGATGGATGTGATCAGGTGAAGCACCATTATCTTGCTGCTTCTCCAGTTAATATTGTATTCTCTTGAAGCCAGAGGTGGCATGCAGGCCATGAACAGAAGAAGCCTAGGTCAGACCCAGGCATCCCTCTCATTCATTATCCTGTCTGTAGACATTGGCCAGCCAGATACCACAGGGGCATTCCCAAGCAGGGCTTGATGGAGGTTACTCTTTTGGCCATCATTACCTGAAGCCACCAGTGAGCCTGTCCTGCTTGTACTTATTTTTAATGCTGCGGATAATCAGTGTAATTCAACTAAGTTTAACTCTGAGTAGACTGATTGAAATTAATGGACCTAACTTACTCATGCTCATTAATTTCAGTGGTTCTACTCTGAGTTTAATACCACCCAAAATTGCTCTGGTTTCTCTTCAGTTTGTATAAATATTCTGAAGTGGTCAGTCCTGCAGGTTAATTACTTAATTACCTGTCATATGAAAATATTTCCTTTCCTAGCAAACACGTTCAGTTCTTCTCCTCAGTTACTTCAGGTTTAGTGTGTGGCTCCCCGCCCTCCTTTACTCACTCCAACCTGACTTCTCTGTGGTGGGGGTTATGCATTTATCAATCCTCTTTCTGGATATTTAAAGCACTTTGCACTGTCAGAGTTGCTGATATTGGATATCAAATAAAATAAAATAAAATAAAATAAAATAGAACACTTCACATATGCTGTCTTGGAACAAAAATCCCACAAGGTGTGCCAGTATTATGGTTCCATAGAGCTGAACTGTATTTTATACTTGACATGGCAACCCTGCGTCAATGTTCTCCATGAAGCATAGGATCATTTTGTAGTGTCTTGACATCATCATTTCAATTCATTGGCTGCCCCAGTAGGGGTGGGAAAACACATGATGTTATCACAAGAATTCATAATATCGTAGAATTGTGGAGTTTGAAGGGACCTTGAGGGTCATCATGTCCAATCCTCTGCTATGCAGGAATCTCAGCTAAAACATCTATAACAGATGGCCATCCAATCTCTGCTTAAAAACCTCCAAGGAAGGAGAGTCCACAACCTCCTGAGTGAATCTGTTCCACTGCTGAACAGCTCTTACTTCATGTAGAGAAATTCATGCAGAGGTACTGCTGGAGATGTCTAGAGTCTCCTGTTCTGAGACTAAGATAGTTAGCAGTTTGAGCGTACTTAAAAAGCTCAGAGCTGAAATTGGGATCTTTGTGGTAGCCACTACTCTATGCTAATTCCCAAGGAATCAAATGCTTAATATACATGAGAGATATTTATTGTATATCCAAGCAGACATATATGACATTAGCAGCTTTTTCTCTGAACTCCAAGTGATCCTTTAAATTTCTGGTTTGTGTATTGTGTCTCATTAAAGAGCAATTTTTAATCCTTCATTCACTGTTGGCTGTGGCCCTCAAACATCTTATTACTAGACTAGCCCTATGGACGCTGATGGGACTCCTCCAAAGTGAGTGCCTGGAGGCTAGTAGCTATGATATAGTATCTGACTGGAGAACCTCTGGGAAACACGTTAAGGTTTCCTATTTCTAGGCTCACATGTAGAGGGATCTTATGTTATGCCATGCCCTTCATTGCAGCCACACCCCTGTGGCAGCCATTTTGTGAGCAGTGCCCATTGCATTTTCTCAACATTCAGAATGTGCCCATTGGTCCAAAAAGGACAGCAGTCCCTGATTTAAATATTTTACTTAAATGTTTTATTTCATTTTTTTATATGCATTTGTGTTCAAAGACCTTCTGGTACGGTACAGATTTTAAAAATCTACACCTTGAAATAAATAGAAATGAGATTCTAGTGCAGTCTGTTAATCAAGTTATTGCCCAGCCCATTAATTGCATCTGTGCAAGGCCCATTGAACCAATTAATCTATTTGAAGAATTTATAAGCCACTCATTATTTAAAAATATCATGGCAGTGTACAATAAATCATTACAGTGGTGCCTCGCAAGACGAAAAGAATCCGTTCCGCGATTCTTTTCGTCTAGCCGTTTTTTCGTCTTGCGAAGCAACCCCATTAGTGGCTAAGCGGATTAGCGCTATTAGCGGTTTAGCGGCTTAGCGGCTATTAAAGGCTTAGCGGCTTGGCTGCTAAAAGGCTATTAGCGGCTTAGCGGCTTTGAAAAAGGGGGGGAAGCGGGGGGGAATGGCGAGACTCGCAAGACGTTTTTGTCTTGCGAAGCAAGCCCATAGGGAAATTCTTCTTGCGAAGCGCATCACAAACGGAAAACCCTTTCGTCTAGCGGGTTTTCCGTCTTGCGAGGCATTCGTCTTGCGGGGCACCACTGTAAATACAAAGTTCAGACAATAAGGATACATTCAAACCAGCATGAGTAATTTCCAAGAATGCTGCCCTAAAAAAGCCAGGGTGAATAAAAATAACTCAAGGAGGTACTTAAAAGAACAAGTGGCTGGCACTGCCCTCGTTTCCAGGGGGAGCTTAGTCCAAAAGATCTGCCTCAGATCTAAACAAATTTTGGGGTGTGTTGCACCCATAAGAGGGCCTCCCTTGATGACCTATGGGGTATGAGCAGGATGACACAGAATGATGTGAGGTTATACAGCAGCAGCACTTGGCGGATTATACCAAAGGCTCTGCTCTTGGGAAAGGCAAATTCTGTGAGAAGAAGAAACACCAAATATTGGGACCTGCAAAGGGCAGGCCCTGCATTCTCTCAGGAGCTTGTAGACTGAATAATTGAAAATAGATCATAACGTTGTAAGCTGCATAGTCATTGCCAGGGCGATGGCTCATCCCCTCCCTCCAAGCTGCTCTTGCTCTTGCTTGTTTTCAGTTTTCATTTTAATAGAGCTGTTCTGCCCTAGAGCAGTTCTAAGAAAAAGAGCAGTTAAAAAATTAAAAATCCACCCTTCCTTCTTTCATTTTGACTGATGGAAACAAAATCAGAGTAAGAGGTGTAGCAGTATATGGTACCTTGTGAAACATCACTACATACACATAAAAAGCCACCACCTGGTTGCACAATGCGCTTTAGCTGAGTAACATGCAGTTTTATATTGGATTTACTTCCCTTATCTGATTAGCCTGATATTCTAAATTTAATGAGGCAAAACAGGGGGCTGCCAGTTGGATGAGGAAGATATTACATGCATAATATACACACAAGTAGCTTCAAATCCATATTAAACTCCTGTGTGGATGAGCCCTAACATAGCTACGCCTCTGTAAATTGTGATACTTTTAAGTATGTCTTTGCAACCAAAAGGGCCAGAAACCTATGGGTTTTAAAAATATATAAATATAAAAGATGAAATTGTCAAGAAACTGAACTCTGTGCCTAGGAGCAAATTCTATGCTCCCAGAAGTGTAGAAGTACCCAGATTGTGCCCAGCAGTTCTGAGGCTGGGAGTTGCACATATTACTGAAAAATGTTGCCTTTCCTTTCCTTTCCTTTCCTTTCCTTTCCTTTCCTTTCCTTTCCTTTCCTTTCCTTTCCTTTCCTTTCCTTTCCTTTCCTCTCCTCTCCTCTCCTCTCCTCTCCTCTCCTCTCCTCTGCAGAAAAGAAAACTGATAGAGGCTTGGCCAGTGAATCCCTAAACCTTCCTGTTCTGCAGCCCCTGCTCTCAATGACACAGGTAAGGAGTCACAAATCACTCTGGAGAGCCAATGCTCAAGTTCAGGGGTGGGGAACCTGTGGCCCTCCAGATGTTGTTGCTGGACTTCAGTTCCCATTGGTCCCAGCCAGCATGGCTAAAGGACAGGGCTTGTGGAATTTGTGGTCAGACTACATGTTGATGGCTGCAGGTTCCCCCTCCCTGTTCTAGCATTGTGCTGAGCCTTTGAGGAGCTACCTCGGGTTAAGAACTTTGCTTCAGGATGAGAACAGAAATTGTGTTCCGGCGGCACGGCAGCAGCGGGAGGCCCCATTAGCTAAAGTGGTGCTTTAGGTTAAGAACAGTTTCAGGTTAAGAACGGACCTCCAGAACGAATTAAGTACTTAACCCGAGGTACCACTGTATATGCTTCTTTATAACCAATGTGGGGATCTGCAGTTGAGGCTGAAGGCAAATGAAAGTCCAATTTGGAAGAGTCCTCAGTGTGGTCCCTGTCCTGGTGGAAACGGGCTGGTTTGTAGCAGGTTTGTAGCAGAAGTGCAGTTTGGCTAGCTCTTAAAATGTTCCTAAGAACCTTCTTCTCCAGATACAGTGCTTAGTTCTTAAAGAGCCCTATCACCTGCCTTGTAACAGTTGCTGTTCCACTCATGCCATGTTGATGTTATCTTTGTATTTTGACAGTGCTAACATATCTAGTTAAGAATTTTTGATGTCCTCTTTGGAATCCACACCTTCCTTTTCCATAATGTAATATTTTATTTATATACCTATTTTTACCTCACATTTTATCTTATATTTTGTTTGTTTGAAAGTTTCATATCCTACCTTTCAATCAAATGACCTACAAAACAGCTTATAACACATTAAAATTATACAAAAATTACCTAGCAGCCTTTTTTATCTGTGGCTGCTGATGGAGCCCATAGTGGCCTTAGCCTTGTTTCTGGAGTTCCAGGCCAACTTTTCCTACAAATTGGCACAGATTAATCACATGTATGACAGAAGGACGGAAGAGGGAAGACATGGGAGAAGGCTCTCTGGCCTATTCCAACTCATGCAAGTCTTGCTAAACCAGGGGTGGTGAGCTCATGAGCCAGATGTGGCCCATAAAGCTGTTTTTAGTGACCTGCTGGCCCTCTGCCAAAACCATTGTGGGGGAAGTCCTCTTCTCCCTCTGGTGCAGTGCCATTACAACAGGAAAAAGCAAGGAGATCTAAGATTGGAGCTTTCCTCTGCTTGTTTTTAGAATAGAATAGAATAGAATAGATTCTTTATTGTCATTACACAAGTGCAACATTGCACAAAGTGCAACGAAATTGGATGCCATCCCTTAAAACAACAAAAGCAAAACAACAACAACAACAACCAAACAAACCACATTCCAGCCACACCCACACCAACACCCATCAAACTCCCAGGTCACACTATCGAGTTACAGCATTCAAAAAGGCCACAGCTCTTGGATAGAAACTGTTTTTCAGTCTATTTGTCTTTGACTTGATGTTTCTATATCTCCTGCCAGAAGGCAGTAGTGCAAACAGACTGTGTCCCGGGTGAGATGAATCCTTCAGGATGTTATTTGCTTTCCTAAGACAACGGGAACCGTACAGTTCTTCCAAAGATGGGAGAGGATGACCAATAATCCTTTGGGCTGTGGTTTTCTACCTCATGTTGCTTGTCATCCGCACAGCAGTGCTGGGGTAGGAGGAGAAGTGGAAAATCAAGGTGAAGGAGAGCCCTTTTTCCTTGGAATCACACAGGCAATGCAGCAGCGGGGGAAAACTGGCCTGTGTGTCTGCCCACCAATCACCTTGGCATGCAGCCTGGGGGGGGGCAATCTTCAGCCCTTGGGCTGAAAAGGGTTAGTTGCCCCTAACTAGCCCATTCCAGTGCTAACTAGCCCATGCTGAATAAGTTGGAGTTTGTACAGTAAGTTGTTAATGTTTCTGAAAACAATATAAATAAATTACAGCTCCCCAAAAGGTACCAGTGGCTGCTGCCAAGGCAAAAAGTGTAGGGACAACAGCAAACCAAAATTAAGTCCCTAAACCAGTTGTGGGAATACTGTTGGATATTTCTATGCTACAAGAAATGGGATGTGAGCACTTAGGACTTAAAAAAAAATACATTTGTATTAATTACATAAAAGGACATATGATATATTTATATCTAGAATAATCAATTTTTCAGTATTTTGCCATATATCTAAAATATATTTAGTATTTGAAATATTAAACTTGTTGCTGGACATTTCCTTCAGGTTTAGCTCTATTCTGTTCAATAAAACAAGTCTAAGGTTACAGTTCTGCACACACGTACCTAAGAATAAATACCACTGAATTCCTCAGGACTTACCGGTATGTCTGAGTAAACATGCATAAGACTGCATTGTAAGTTTTATTTTTTAAAAATTGGTAGTGTGTGCTTAGCTCTGGACACTTGAAGGACCTGCCTCATGACCTGTCAGATTGTCATCGGGGCCTCTGAGGGGAGAGGACCTTTTCAGGGCTGCCAACAGGCTTAGATTCTCTTGCCTGAGAGATCCATCTGCATTCCTCCCTCTTGACCTTGCAGATGGTAAGGGCTCTTGTATTTCAGAAGCCCTTTAATAATATGGCAGGCTAAACTGCCTGTTGTCTGTTGCCACTGGTATTTGTTATGTGCTTGCTGCTTCTGTTTTAGGTGGTTACACTGCTCTCTTGTGTTTTAGTATTGTATAGAACTTTTAAAAAAAATCTAGGTGTTTTGATTTTATTAGGTGCCTTGGTATTTTGCAGAGAAGGGTGAGAGAAAAATGCTTTTAAATTATTGGTTTTCAGCCAGTGAGCCATGGCACCCTGGGGTGACTTGAGGAACATTCAGGGGATCTCCAGGAGGGCATCCTTTCATTAACTTGCAACCCATACCTTCTTCCTGCATTGTCTCCCTCTCTTTCTTTCTGAGGAACATTCAGGGGAGCTGGCAGCTTTAACTTCCAGCCCATTATCTTCCCAAAATAAAACAGTAGCAAAAAAGTGGGAAACACTTTTGCATGACTGTCTATCTTCTTAGTATCAAAGTATCAAACTTTATTTTGGTCAGCATAAACCAGCATAAAATAAAGCATACAGATTTTTTATCTTCTTAAAATCTCTTCCCCCATCCAAAACCAAAAACCAAAAGTCCTTCCAGCTTCAGTAACCAACAGTTCCTTAGCTTTACAGGGAAGGCTTGAGAAATGCAAGAAAATAGCTAAGTAGCTTGATGGTGTGTGTGCTCTATAAGGAGGGTTTTAAAAATAACCCTGAAAGTGCGGAGTGTTTTCTGTGTTTCTCTCTCCTTCTACCCCCAACATTCCTCCCCCCTTCTTCTCTACTTCTCCCTTCAGGCAACCCCCCCTCCGCCTTAACAGTCACCCAGCTTTATGGGGACAGGGAGAATTTTTATTTTTATGACTACAAAAACGGGACAAATTGGGGGCCAAAGAGGACAGGGGACTCTGTGTCCCCAAAATGGGACTCTCCTGTAATTATAAGGGACAGGTGGCAATCCTACTTTAATGTGACCTCTGTGTTCCCCTTTATTTAATAGAATTATTTTTTTAAAGAGAAAGGGTTCTCTCATTATCGAGATCACTATTTTTAATAGGTTTAATCATTTTTATTAAATACAGAAGGCACATACCTGTATAAACACACACACCCCTGAAACATAAATGAAGAAGATCACAGGGATACTCAAAACAATAGCTGACAGCAGGGGTGGATAACCCCAGTATGGGGGCCTGATGAGCCACTCACAAGGACACGTCTTGTGTTCAATATTCTACCATTTTTGGTAGTGGTGGCAAAAAGAAATACCGTATTTTTCTCTCTATAACACGCAGATTTTTTCTCCTAAAAAGGAAGGGGAAATGTCTGTGCGTGTTACGGAGCGAATGTGTGGTTCCTGGAGCCAAAAAATTAGACAAAAATCAAACCGCGCTTCACGGAGAAGGGAAACCTGGAAAGAGGAAGTGGTTGCTTTCCTGCATTCTGCCTCAGGGTCTTACTGCCCACCCTCCTCTGTTTCGTTGCTGTGATTGCTGAAACGGAACAAAGAGCAGGGAAAGCCCCTCCCCTCCTGGCAAGCAGAGTGTCGCTCTTTCTAATTCCTCTCTGTGCTCCAGTGCTGCTGGGGGAAAGGGAGAGAGAGGGGGGGAGGGAGAGAGAGAGGGGGGGAGGGAGAGAGAGAGGGGAGAGAGAGGGAGAGAGAGAGAGAGAGAGAGAGAGAGAGAGATGGCTGGCTTGGGTGGGGGGAAACTTTTGCCTTTCTTTCCTCCCTCCCTCTCCTGCATTCTTAGCCAGCTGCTTCTCTGCACACCCCTCTCATGTCCCTTCTTTGTTTTTCCTTTGCTCCCCACTTAAAATGTGGTTACAAAGCATAGATCTACATGGATCCTCAGGATCTTTGCATTGGGTCACCCCAAATTCACCATCAGATCACATAGCATGTCCATGCTACAGCCTGCCCCCCCAAAATCACGCACCCACTGTTGCCTGGGGCTGCAATGGTGCAAAAACGTGGTTACAAAGCATGGATCCACAGGAATTCTCAGGATTTTTGCATTGGGTCACCCCAAATTCACCATCAGATCACATGTCTGTGGCCACAGCATGAAGCACAAAAATGATACATCCACTGTTTCATTCAGAATGTTTTTTCCCTTGTTTTCCTCCTCTAAAAACGATGTGCGTGTTATGGTCAGGTGCGTGTTATAGAGCGAAAAATACGGTAAATCACAGCATTGGGGAGGCCCAGGATTATTAAACTGATGGGAATACAAATTGTCTTCTCTTGAGTAATCAGATCAGTGCTTTGAGCAGAGAGGGGCCTCTGTATATTGCCTGATATGCCTGGGGTGTGGGGTGGTCACACCCATGGCTGGCGTGCAGTCCATGAGGAGGAGGAGAAAAGGTTAGCCACCCCGATTTAAAGTTTGACAGCTACAGCATATCCATCCCGTAAACTGTCTTTTCTTAACTGCAGTATACTTAATAACT